GTTACCTGACACTATACTGAGTGGACACTGTCAGCAGGACGGTTTTCAGATAAGGGCCGGCCGACCTCTTCAGGTCATCGGCTCCTTTTTCCGTCAGACAGCCAGCCAGCACACGGAAACCTTTCCGATCCAGCTTCTTACACAGCAGGTTCCCGAACCCTGAGTCACAGCCCGTCACAAACACATACTTGTCGGTGAGTTCTTCAATCTCCAGGCTGTCTCTGTACAGCCACACGATGAACCACAGCACCACCACAGTAGCACCGATGTACAGCCAAGCATTCTCCCTGAAGGAGAAAAGAAGATAAAACATTAAAAAAAAAAAATAGACCTAAAAGTTCCAGGATACAACTCCAAACTAAAGTGACAGCTGTGGTGTTGACTGAAGTTTCTCACCCTAAAATGTCCTGGACTGACGGTGACTCCATGTTGATTCTGGAGTAAGGGTTAAAGTTTTGATCAGCTGGGAGGACTTAGTATTTGCTGAAAAAAAAAACATTTACAAATGATGGTGGACAGTGACATGTCACAAAAAGTAGTTCTAGTAAATAATAAAAAAATATATACCACATCCTAATACACATAATTACGTAATATCAGTACTTAAAAATAATTCAGATTTTTATTTATTATATATTATTGTTATTATTACAACAAAGGTGTGTTTTCTTTTTCACTGAGAGCTGTCTGTGTTTGTAGTACAGAAGTACTTTGGCCACATGAGAAATCTTTGGATAATACGCTTATGAAAGCGAGAAAGGCATCTGTGAGAGTACAATCGCAACGACAGGGTGGGGAGTGGTGGGGAGCTGGAGGAGAGGGGGGCTATTGTTTAAAAGCATGAATTCAATGCCCGTGACGGAGCTGCTTAGGCTTATTGCTGGAAACCTATTAGTTTACACGGTTCTTAGATTGTAACCGCAGACAGCAATTAATTAAATTGTATGTATGTATACAGGCAAATAGTAGCTTTTTTAAAAAAAATAACTTTAATTAATTGCAAAATACTGGAAAATGCTGTGCATATACGTCATAGGAAGAAGAATACATTTTTGGCTTGTCTCTTTATCAGCAGGCTCCACATAGCGATTTGGCAGAATTTTTACACCTGACGCTCTCACTGACAAAACAAGTTTGAGGGATCAGTGGTATTGAACTCACAACCTTCTGATAGCAGGCATTAATGTCATAAGAAATATTACAGTAACAACCAACCATTACATCACTAAACTAAACTAACTAACTAACTAAACTAAAAAAACACACACCAGCTCTATGTAACTCACTGCTTTAGGGTAAACATAAAATCATTTGTTATTTGAAAATAAAATATGAAACGTACAACCATTAAAAAATACTATAAAAGTTTAAATTTTAGAGCTAAGTGACATTCTAATAAAGCTGAGAAGAAATGACAATGAAAAATTTGTATTCCCTACCTTTTCAACTTTAATCGGACCTTCACAACTTTCCCGTCCTCTTCACTTCCTCTTTCTTCCTTTACTTCTGTGGTTACTGAGGGGCCAGTCACAGAGAAAGAGTTTATCCCCATGGTTTTATCCCTTAAGACAAGAGCACAACTGATAATCCCCAATCCATAAAATCCATTTTACTGTGTGCTGGTTTAAAAAAGTGTCAGAAGCACACTTTTGTAAACATAATGCAAACATGGTTATCAAAGAACCTACTTTCCAACTTTAAACGCTGTGTTAAATAACAAGTGCTTTCATAACGACAAAAACGCTGCTTTCTGATAATAACAAGGCACAAAGCAGGTTAACATTTCAATAGAAATAGGTATGTTTCTTAAGAGTTATCAATGGTCTTTTTTTTGGTTGACATACGTCTTGCATGGCAGTCTTAATATTTACAGAAAATGCTAAATGCTAAATGTGATGTATGCTGTTACTGATACCTACTGAGTTTTTTCTTTAAAGAATATAATCAACACAAAATTTGCTGTAAAAATAAACTCACCATGTGAGCGGTTGCGTCAAACATTCCTCGTCCTGAATGGACCCGGTGCTATTTTTATCCGGTCACTGGATTTTACAGGTTCAGAAAATATTTCTGTTGAAAAATCCTGTTGGTTATTACACTGTGAATGTCATTTGGTAGTTTGCCCTTCACTTTCGCAACCCTTACAATCGAGAGAGCAGATTAGATAAACTTTTATGACTTGTTCGGTGGGAAGCTACAGAAACATTACCAGTGTCATTAAAAAGTAAATCAATAACAATAATTAATAGATTATTAATAGATGTGTTAAATCTTCCAGGATGGCTTTGTCAAAATTAAAGACTTGTGTGTGTATGTAGGTTAGTTTCCTGATTTGTTTAGCACTTGTTAACCACACCGACCCATAACACTGATATTTCTATTGGAATAAGAGAAATTATAATATTGACAATTTTAATGATGAAAAAAACATTATCGTCCCAAAAGAATAACAAAAAGCAAAAGAAAATCTAAAAGACAATGTTATTATTATTAAGAAAAAAAATATCCACACATTTTATTTTATTGAAAAACATCTCTCTTTAAACTATATACAGGGTATATGAGTCCAATGTGTAAATCTGATGTATTATTACCATATTACTAAAGACAATGGAGACGTGAGAACCATTTATAAATCATTTGCATTGACTTCACTTCAAATTAATAGCATATTTCATCTGTATATATAGACACAAACAGTTTTGTTTGATTTATTAAGCAGCGGTTTATTTGTTGTTGCAAAAAAAATTATTCAAATGACAAATGTAAAAAGACGACTAACAGAAAACTGCAGGCAGTTATTAATGTACACAAACCATAAATAAATAAACATACGCATATGCATAGATCATGAATCAAGTATTTTAAAAGGCTATTTTACATAATACTTTTTTGAAAAATATCTCAAAAATAAAAAGGTTGTAGCCCTGGCAAAAAGAGTTCCGTGACAGTCCCTTACAGAGGCTCTACAGAGTCAGACTTTTCTAATGGGAATCAGATGGAATTCTGTCTTTGATTCTCCTCCTTTTACAATCAGCTTTAATCATCACGTTTGTCTGCATGTGATGTTTACGACGATGCAGAATGAAGCTGGCCTTTGTGTACGTACTCCAGGGCTGTGGCAATGGTTCTCATGTCCATCTCAATGCTACGGGCCCAGTTCTCCACATCACCAATCTCCTGTTCAAAATAGTCGTGCAAAAACACTTGATGGTTAGTAAATTGTACAATCTATTTCTTTCTTTCTTTTTTCAATCTGAGGATTCATCTCACCTTAAGAGCTTGATTAAATCCTTCCACCATACTGATCCACTGTGCAGTTTGTTTGGAGAACTGACCCGCCTGCACTTGGAGAGTCTTCACTTCGTGGTCAAGCTTACGCTGGTTAACATATGCCTGAGCAACACTGATGTCAATCACAAAAAAAGATAAAACATTACTGCTAATAAATTAATGTGTTAATTACTTTGATATATTTCATCACTATTATATTTGCAGAAGGCACCAAATCACATTTACACAACATGTGTAGCTGTGGGTGACCTGCATCTCTCACCTGCATTTTTATTATCAATAACATGACAATACATTTAGCCTAACTTCCATACCCGACGTTGAGGTGATCGACCAGAGCTTCAGTCAGACAGGTGGCTGCAGTAATTGCTTCACGTCTCCGTCTCTCTATACAAGATTTAAAGTCGAACAACACAAACATTAATCTTTAACATTGGACACCAATCTTTGTTTTTAGCACTGATTAGCATTGAAGCTAGCTCACGTCACGAAGCCTCACCCTGCAGGTCTTTCCGCTCATTTTGTTTGGCCTGGTGTTCTTTCAGCAGACGAGACAACATCTTTAATTATACCTATAGTTTTGTTTAAGTAAGAAATATATTTATATAATGACATACAGAGTGCAGGACCGTCCACACGCTAACACTAACGTAGCTGTGTCACGAGACACAGTTAAAGGAAGTCACGCGGGGGCGTGTCAGAAAATGGATCTATAAGCAAATCAACAAAACTATCAACTATCTGTTGATCTGTCATCGGCGTTATGTGAGTGAATACGTCTAGTCAGTTAAGACGGCAAAGTGTTTAGAAATCACACAAACACAAGAAGCGATAGCTCTTATGTATGTATTTTTTATTAACCTATTTCGAGCTTTCAAAATAAAAGCACGAGCAGCTAAACATTTCAAAGAATCCATACTTAAACTGGCGAGACTGGTCATGAGTCTACTCTGTGGAGAATTTGAGAAAACAGTGTTTCTAAGTGCATAAATATATATATAATATAAATAATATCTGTTACAGTTTCAAATTAAAAGTATTGTGAAAATAATCCGAAAATCAGCGTGATTTCTCTTAAAAATTAAATTAATTAAAGCCAAATGTGAAAACTGCTGGGAAATTACCTTTGAGCAAAAACTTTTTCTGCGGAGCTGTGTATTCTTTCTTTGCAGAGATAGACGCGCTCATGGTATGTTTTGGTCCTGGAGCGGACCTGCGTATTTGTACCTCGTCTCATGTTATTTTATTTGGAAAAACTATCAACGGAAGTGTTGTGCTTGCTAACTACCGAAAGCAGGGCTGTGCTGTTGGCCGGCGGCTACCTGTCAACATCTTGGAAGTAGGTTATTCTTAGGTTTTGGTGGTTCTTTTTCTCCTGTTTGGACCAGGTATAAACATTTTGTCTTATACTGTGTAAGAAATGTAGAATTTTCTCGAGCGACAGGTCTAAACTTTTGAAGTAACCGACAGCTCTTAGCTTTATTAACGTCAGATTATGCTAATGCTTGGTGTTTAGCACGACGCCAAACACAGTTGCTAAGTTGTTAAGTTTCTGTTTAAATGGTAATATCATAACATAACAACTCTCCGAAGCACCAGGGTCCTTAAATGTGTAATGAGAAATAGTCAGCTGGTGGGCTCTAATGCTGAGAGCCTTCGTGTAGCATGAAGGACAGCCTTCAAGTATTCCTAATGTCGTCACAGTCTGACGCCGTCATTTTGATAGATTAATGAATAGTATTCGACCTGCATTAAAGTCATTGTGTCCATATCACGTGTCAAAAGCTATTTCGCATATTATAAACAACATAACTGTTATACCTATATAGCATTACGATAGGATTATTTGTTATGAAATTTTCTTAACAAGACCAGCAGGTGTCAAGTCAACGTTGATATGTTTATTATTACTATTTACACTAGAGATAACCCTTCAGTGTTCCTTCTGAATCTGAGCGATGTTCACTTTTTGTAAATATTTCTGAAATATACAATATAGAAATTATACTGTTCTTCAACCTTTTCTACACTAGTTTTTGTTTGTGGTAGATCACTCATTCCGATCTTAACACTGCTTGTTAACACATCCTGTGTTCATGTTCACAGTTGTTTGGAGTTCTCTTTATTGCAAAGCAGTGGTGTAATGGAAGAACCATGAAGGCTCAATTACAAGTTACAGGTGGGTAATTCTGTGACTATTGGTAGTACTTATTAGGATTAGTAGGATTTAGGTAGAGAAAAACATGTTTCTGCTGTGAAGTTGTACTGAGTATAACTGTGTATTTGACAAACAAAATGCTTGAATCTGATAATACATATTTTTTAGAATAGTCAATTGTCAATGTTGCACATTCAATGCTGCTTTTTTGTCTGTCCAGTGATTTCGGCCCGGCTGAAGGAAAACAAAAAGAACTGGTTTGGTCCCAGTCCATATGTGGAGGTTGTTGTGGACGGCCAGTCAAAGAGGACAGACAAGTTCAATAACACACACAGTCCAAAATGGAATCAGGCTCTCACTGTGTAAGTTTGACTCTAATTTTTGTTTTCCACTCAATCACTGTTTGAGTTAAACGTCAATATTTTTTTTCTACTAGGTTTATTCATCTTTTTTTCTTTTCTGCGTTAAAAAAAATGTGGCTCTTAAATGACCATAAGTTTATAAAATAATTAACATGTATAATACCTGTATGTGTATTTTGTGAGACACTAAAAACATTGTAGTCCTCAAAATTATTTTTTAATTAATTATTTTTATAATTTCTTTAATATATTTTTTTGTATTTATTAAAATCATGTCGATGCAGTCACGTCTTATGACAGGGAATAGCAGGCAGACCTTTTTATCTACTTTTTTTTTTTTTTTTTTAAAGAATTGTGACCCCTGTTAGCAAACTCATCTTCCGAGCTTGGAGCCACCAGACATTAAAGGCAGACATCCTGTTAGGAATTGCCTCACTGGAGATCCTGCAGGCACTCAAGACTAATGACCTGAAATGTAAGTTCACATTACTGTCTGTAGGCTTCTTAATTTCATCTATATTATTTATTTTGTATTTTTACCTAATTATATCTGTAACTGTCAGTTTTACCCCTGTTAGATATCTGTGATGTTATCTTACATCTTTACCATATTCTTTATGGTTCACCATATATCTGGTCTATGTAAATTGTTTGACTTAAAAGGCACTGTTCGTACAACAGAAACTTGCCATTAAAAATGTTTAACCTTAATCTGTGTCTAAACCAGTGTGTGAGGTGGTGCAGACCCTGCAGTTGTGTTCTGACGGAGACCCCCAGGATGTTGTAGGTGACCTGTCGGTCTGTCTGGATGGCCTGCAAGTGGATCCTGAAACCTTTGCTTCTGCAGAGAGGGATTATAGTAAGTAATGCATGAAGGAATAAACACACAAAAGTAAAAGATCAGACAGTATCACATCATCATGGACATTTTTTAGTGATATGGATTTGGTGCTGTTAAAACAGCAAAAAGAAACCTTAACCATAAACCATAATCCTATATAAAGTTATTCTACAGTTTTAGACTCCTTCAAGAAAAAAATCAGTTATTAGAAAATTCAAGGAGGTAACCGTTATTGTATTTCTGAAAAAAGTGTTTTTTCTCAAGTGTACCCTAAAGATCGATTTTCCTTTTTTTTTTCTTTTGTTCCAGTTGCTGCTTCAAGTAGAAATGTGAGAGAAAATGGAGATGCTAGAAACAGGTCCAGTACTGTTTTTTATTCCCATGTTTATCAAAAAAACAAAGAAAATCAGTAATGTGTTTTTTCTTGCTTCTGCGCCTCTTTATGGTCTATCCCAATAAAATAACCTCTTGTGAACAGGTCGAGCAGGGAGTCGTCTTCCTCTAGTGACTCAGACGAGTGGGTCATTGTGCCATGTGATCGCGCTTCTCCAGGAGGCTCCTCTGCTTCGCGACCTTCCAGACCATCTCGACCCTCTCCGTCTCCACAAAGACCTGCAACCTCGCCAGGTGTGGGACAAACCAGAGGTTCTCGAAATATCAGGACCATATTTTTTGGAGATCACGTTAATTAAAGCAGTTTTTCTGTGTACAATTACATTTTATAGTTCACAAGTTGTTTTCTTTTGAAGATGACCTTAGCTGTTATTTTCACTGTTCTCCACAGTCTCCTCCAGCAGTTCCTATCCCAGTGAGCTGAGTGAAGGCCCATCTTCTGATGGTACTCAGGCATCAGCGAATGGCTGCTCAGGTCTCCAATGTAACTCAGGTTCTACAGCCACAGGTTCTTCACAGACAGGCTCTGGTCCAAAACCAGATACCAGTGTTGTAGCAGCTCTGGCTACACCAAGAATCCCACCTATCAACAACGCTCCTTTACCACCTGGGTAAAAAAAAGAAAAAAAAATTTCAGGATTTGGAAATTCTGTTATTAGATAAAAACAATGTATTGTAGTAGTTTGTGACCTTTATGATATTGATGATATTCTATTATTTAACATTTTCCAATATGATTAGTCACAGTAGCTATTTGTTTGTGTAGCATTACAAATGATCACATGCTTTTGTTAATGTTTGTTTTTCCAAAACCACAAAGGCTTTCTGTGCACTTATATTTAAGAAATGTCAACAAAGATCACAACCTGCACACCTGTAGTACTGTGTCCTCACGAGAGATGTTTTCTAGGTTTAAGGTATAGAGTAGACAGACGGGACCTTACTCCATTATAGGTGACTTTGAATCCCTGCAGCTAGGTTTCAAATCAATCAAATTAAAAAGCATTGCTATAGGAAAATATTGTATTTACATATATATGTAAATATATATATGTGTGTGCATATATACGCATTAATACACAGACACACATATATATATATATATATATGAACAATAAAAATATTTCCTAATCTTTACTAATCACTTCTGCTGCCTGCAGGTGGGAACAAAGGGTGGACCAAAATGGTAGAGTGTACTTCGTGGATCACATTGAGAAAAGGACGACCTGGGAAAGGCCTGAGCCTCTGCCTACAGGGTACATAAACAATTGTATGGTGGCGATGCCGCCTACATACTGCAGCTTTTGCTGTCCCTGAGGCTGAGTAGCAGTCAAATGAGAACGCTCTCTTTTTTCAGATGGGAGCGTAGAGTGGACCCTATGGGAAGGGGGTACTACGTTGACCACATTACTAGAACCACAACATGGCAGCGTCCCACTCAGGAGTCGGTGCGAAACTATGAAGAGTGGCAGAACCAACGCAGCCAGCTGCAGGGAGCCATGCAGCAGTTCAACCAGAGGTTCATCTACGGGGTGAGAGCGGTCGAGTCATCTGTTTATATAAATTTTAAGTGTTTTTTTCCATCAAACGTTTGATGAAAGCACTACAAGTATGTCTTGACAGATGTGAAATACATGACACACCCTCCTCTTGTTTAGCTCCAGGACCAGATTGCAGCTACAGCCAATAAAGAGTTTGACCCACTTGGGCCTCTGCCACATGGCTGGGGTAAATCTCACTAAGTATTATATTATTTAGTCAAGGCTTTGTGGTTTAAAAATTGTTCATTATCCTAATTAAACTGAGATATAATGTATTTTAAATGATAGAGAAAAGAACGGACACCAACGGCAGAGTTTATTTTGTTTACCATCCAACTCGGTCAACCCAGTGGGAGGACCCCAGGAGGCAGGGGTAAGTGAGGGGTTATATACTGTACACATGTTCACGCAAATATGTTTAAATACTTTTTTAATTAACTGTGAAATGTAATGTAATTAAGCTTTTCTTGGTGATTGTACTGTATAGTGCATTTGCTTCAGTCTCCGTGAATTTGTTTAATTAAAAACAATTGTTAGATTTTAACCAATTTATTCCTGAATTAGGGCAGTATTACATATAAGATCATAGACCAGCGATTGTTAACTTGCGGCCCACCAAAACCATGAAATCCGACCAGATTTCGCGACCAGATTTAAAAAATAAACATTAATTAATAATGTTAGACAAAAATGTGATTTTTATTTCATTTTATGAGTGTCCGGCCCACAAGGTGACTGTCCTTTTTTGATTAATGTTCAATCGTCTGGTTTGAAATTTCAAATATTTTCATAAACTGTTAAAGATGTAAATATGATTAGGACATTTGGTAATGGTGTCTGATTCTGCATAGTTAACATTTTTGATGAATACTTTATTAAACATACTCCTTCTTGGTTTTACTTCTACTGCTAAGTTTGCATGTTTCAAAATTCATTAACAATGTTTTCTTTTATTTGTTTCAATACTTTAGGCTTTTAAATGATAAACCCTTACCAGACGGCTGGGAGATGAGGTTCACTGTAGACGGCATTCCATACTTTGTAGACCACAACAGGCGAACTACCACCTACATCGACCCTCGAACAGGAAAATCTTCACTGTGAGTCGTCAAAAGTGCTGTAGTATAAATCACCACATTGATTGTAGTCTTGATGTATATTAAAGAATAATACAAACTCTTAGACCATTAGATTGAATGGTTAATACCAGAAGAAGTCTGAATAGTGTTTAATGCTCTTTTGTCACTTTAGTACAATGACTTGTTACCGCCTGGTATCTGTAAGAATAACATTTATGTTAACCTATGATCTACGTCAGGTTTAAAATATCTCACCAGAGAGTCTACAAGGGAATATAGTCTCCCTCTTTGACTATATTTATGAACTATATTTGTATATTATGAAATGTAATAACTCACAGCTGTCTGTTTCATGGTGATCATTCCTCTACTGACCTTTTCCACAGAGAAAATGGGCCACAGATAACCTACGTCAGGGACTTTAAAGCCAAAGTGCAATACTTCAGGTTCTGGTGTCAGGTATGTGCTTTTTACATGGCTGCTGGAATGACTTCCCTCCAGTGATCTCATCACTTATGATCATATATGGCTGTGCAACAGTAGATACTGTCTGTTATTCTCCCAGAAATGTTATATTTCAGCTTGTTGAAGTAGAATTAGAAATTTCTGCTGGTGTTACATTTTGTGTTACATTCACATCTTAGTTAGTTCCTCTGTGGAAAAATGGTGGTAAACAAGGGGGATGCATTTACCTCAGAAATTCTGGTAATAGATTTATGGACTAATTTCATAGGTCTGGCTTTATATTGATACTAGATTGAAACTAGATTTTTTGTTTGTTTCAGGTTAAATTGAGTGTGTTATTAAATAAATAAATTGCTCGATTATGTGTTAAGAACTGAAAGCCATTGTGTCGAGGTACTGTTGTATTGTTGTATTATGTGGAATATTTGCTGCACTTTTTTTAACATGTAGTTTCTCTTTTAGCAAATGTCAATGCCTCAGCACATTAAGATCACTGTTTCACGAAAAACTCTGTTTGAGGATTCATTCCAGCAGGTACAAAATCTCATTTTCCAAAACTATCCAGCAGCACTGTGTTGTCAATGGTTAAATAATAGTTTTTTTCATTTATTTATTCTGAATTTTCACGTATAGATCATGAGCTTCCATCCTCAAGATCTAAGGCGAAGGCTGTGGATTATATTTCCTGATGAGGAAGGCTTGGATTATGGTGGTGTCGCCAGGTTGGATCAACATTTTCTTTTTAAACTGTTTTTTTATATATATATTTATATTTTTGTGCTACCCTGTCACTGAAAAATAGTTTGTATGAATAGCAAAGTATCTCACAATATTTTTCATCTGCAGGGAATGGTTTTTCTTGCTGTCACATGAAGTACTGAACCCCATGTACTGTTTGTTTGAGTACGCTGGCAAAGACAATTACTGCCTGCAGATCAACCCTGCTTCTTACATCAACCCGGATCATCTCAAGTACTTCAAGTTCATTGGGCGCTTTATTGCAATGGTAACTGAATGCTCTCCTTGACAATTATTATTACTCATTGAATGAGTGGTTATAATTTAAACGCACTGTAAAATATAAAAACAACCTGCTTTCCTGTTCCAGGCCTTGTTCCACGGCAAATTCATTGACACCGGCTTCTCTCTGCCATTCTACAAACGTATCCTCAACAAACCCCTGGCTCTCAAAGACCTGGAGTCTATAGATCCTGAGTTTTACAACTCACTTATATGGATCAAGTAAGTTAATATTAATAATTTATGGCGGCACTGCCAAACCTTTTTTGTACCAGGTCCTGGTACCGGCTAGTACTGTGGACTGGTAGTGCCCCACTGATCATTGAAGGATCATTTAAGATCAGTGAATTCTCAAAATAAAACACCTTTTAGATTCGAGATTAGAGTCTGAAATAGGTATAATCTTTTAATAACTGCCGAATTATCTTTAAATGAAGAAAGTAAATGTAAATAAATAGTTTATTCTTTCACTGCTTTGTCTGCCCATTGAACAAGTATTGTTTGAGTTGTAGTATTCCTACAAAAAAAAAGATACGTATTGTTGTGTTTTTGCCTGTTAATAATTGGGCTTTAACTGTGTGGCCCACAGGGATAATAACATAGAGGAGTGTGCTCTAGAGATGTTCTTCTCAGTCGACAAGGAGATCCTGGGGGAGGTCACCACACATGAACTAAAACCTGATGGAGGTAACATCCAAGTCACTGAAGAAAACAAGGAAGAATACATCAAGTACTAATGCACTTTTTATTTTTTTAACTCTCAGTCAAACGCCAACTGTTGGGCTGGTGTGAATTCTGACTGTGTTCTGTCTTCTCGTCTTTGTTACCCAGACTGGTGGCAGAGTGGAGGCTTTCCAGAGGAGTGGAGGAGCAGACTCAGGCTTTCTTTGAAGGCTTCAATGAAGTTCTGCCTCAGCAGTACCTTCAGTACTTTGATGCAAAGGAACTCGAGGTGCTGAACCTTCACTGAGTCAGAAAAAACTTTAGAAAAGTTTTTTTTTTTTGTTTTTATTCTTTTTGTTCTTCTGAACAACCCCTTTTCACAGAGCACACATACGTTTTTAAGTGTTTGTCATCTGCAGGATAATATATATATATGTTTCCTTGTCTGTAGGTGATGCTGTGTGGAATGCAGGAGATAGACCTGGTGGACTGGCAAAGGAACACAATCTATAGGAATTATGCTCGAAGTAGCAAGCAGATTGTCTGGTTCTGGCAGGTTGGTTCACTATTTATGAAGTCTAGAATATATAAATATATAAACTCTGTTTATATACTGTATGTATTCTAAACGTTATAGCACTTCTGCAGTTTGACTGTAGAAGTGCTGGACAACACTGTTCTTATTTCACTCTTTAATGTTGTTTTAGTTGAGGCTTTAATAGTATAATAATAACTAATCAGCTACTACAGTAAATACACCAGTGGCTATTAGAGGGAGATAGATAGATAGAACTTTATTCCCTTCAAATACACCAGTGGATATTTCAGGGAAATAGATAGATAGAACTTTATTCCCTTAAAAAAATAAGTATTATTCTGAGAGTTTTATCAAATAAAAACTTATTCTTTTCATTTAGCATCTTAAAAAGGCTTGTGTCTCATTTTGGGGATGAACACTTTTTAGGCTTCATGCATACTATACTTAAGCACCAGATTAAGCAGATAGATACTGCTGAGTTGGAGCATGATCTGTTGTAAACTCTAATCCACATGGAATTTAAATGTGACTGAAGACTTATGTGTCACCAGTTCATGAAGGAGATGGACAACGAGAAGAGGATGAGAATGTTGCAGTTTGTAACAGGAACCTGTCGTCTCCCTGTGGGTGGTTTTGCTGACCTGATGGGTATGTACTGTAATACACGCACTGGCTCAGAGCCACCGAACTAAAAGGTTACTGGACTAATGTTTTACACCGATGCGTGCAGGGAGCAACGGCCCGCAAAAGTTCTGCATCGAGAAAGTGGGCAAAGAAAACTGGCTTCCAAGAAGCCATACGTGGTGAGTTCCCCTTCTCTGTATTTGCTGTTATTCCAGTTCTTTCACCAAGGTCATAAGGAGTTTCAAAGTGAAACTTCTAAAGCCAGTACCAAACCCACTTAGTCACCTCTGATTCAACCACTTTCTTTTGTTGCCAAGGCTTAATGAAATACCTGGAAGCAGAATACTCCTTGTGGCATGTTTTGAATTAGAGAGTTTAGTGTTTGTGTGGTGAATGTTTTTGTGTTGCAACATGTCAAATGAATGCAGTTGCAGGTTCTGACAGCTTATAGGGAAACCCAACTGTGATGTTGATTATTTGAAGGCAACTGTTTAACACATGGTACTGAAATGTATTATATGCTTTCGAGGTACATTTAAACTGTAATTTAAAATCTGTCTCGTTCCCCTGTGCAGCTTTAACCGGCTGGACATGCCCCCCTACAAGAGCTATGAGCAGCTGAAGGAGAAGCTCTTGTTTGCCATAGAGGAGACGGAGGGCTTTGGGCAGGAGTGATGCATTGTGGGAAGTTTAGCAGTTTTCATCTTTCCTGTGTACGTCAGGGATCGGTATAGTAGAAAAAAAATCCTTCTTAGAATTTCTGCCGGACAGATCATGCCGCCTGCAGTTTTTTCTTAACATATTTAGTTCATTGGATTTATTTAATAATTTAATTTGCTTTTCGTGAGCTACCTGTGAATCCTTCCCACCCCTTATTCACTTCTCAAACCTTAAATTTGTCTTTAATCCGGCTAATCTCATTTGCCTGTTCAACCCACTGAGTAAGAGTAGAGACAATAAGGCAGAGAAAAGACGCCTCTTTCACTCCGTCACATCTGCACTCTCTGGACGTGACATGAGTCCAGTCTCCATATGTTCAGCTGTGAAGTCTACGCAGCACTGGCATGTTTCAGATCTATGCAGAATGAATGCTTCTGGAGCAGAGAAGAGTATTCTGACTTGAGTTTTTAAAAAAAGTATGTATTTTGAAGTGAGATTAGAAGCTAATGTGTAGTTTAACATCAATGTTTTTAAAAATGTAATTGAGGATTTTTTTTTGTTTTATTTTAAAGTGACTCCCATAGTAAATACCTTTTAAAGGCAATAGATTTACACCAGGACCATACTAACTCGATAATTAATTTCTTCCTTATTTGAATTTTCTTAATAATGAGCTTCACCTTCTAGATCATTGTGAATGTTGTCTTGAAAGAGAATGTATTTTCTTATCTGTACTAGTTTTGTAGCAATCGTTGAACAGCGAAATATCTAAACCGTGGTTGGTTGGTTGATTGATTTGTTGCCATAGCACTTTGACAAATTTAATTTTAAATGAGTATTCCCAACATAACGTAAAGGGAAATATATTTACCTGTGATTAACGTCTTTAAACTTTGCCTTCTTTAATTTGGCGGTTTTATGCCAAGTTATTTGCCACTCTGCAGAACTGTCTTGGAGGGATCACTGTGCTGTTGAGTCTGTTCATGAGCTGCTACTATGACGTGGGGTCGTTATAATGGTTTCAATAGTATGAAACAAAAATCTGTTTACTGACTATTACCCACTGAATGGTAGCCATTAAGGTATTATCACGCAGTAGATCCCTGATGGGAAAAAAACCCTTAAACACTTGGTGTCAGTATTCTTAAAAAATAGAGAATGTCCGTGAAATACAGTCTTACAGTAGGTGTCATGGTGCAGTAGACCCCAGTGATATACAGGCTTAAATTAAGATTCAAAACATCTAAGTGTGTTTGACCCTAGTTTTATAGGGTTTTAAATATTTAGCCTTGTACAGATATTTTTTCTTTTCAAATCCAAGTAAACGATGGGGCTTCAAACACGTCCCATCCCTAACGACACTAACACTGAGTACATATCAGTTTCCACTGTTCAGTTGTACAACATGACCAAAGCAGTACTTTTATGTCAGCCAGTGTTTAACATTACAAAGATATTTGTAGTACCCTCTCACTCCCCTTTTTTTTTTTCTTTTTTTTTTGCTGCAGTTTTTAGGTAAACATGACAAAATAAAACTCTCTCAATATTTTACATGGATGTTTTTTTATTCATAATGTTGGTTTTACAAACCTCAGTTCTGAATTACAATACAATATCTTAACAACAGAGTAGTGTGTACAGAGGGTGTGTAAATGTTAGTAGCACTTCCAGTGTATATTAGTAAAAACAAAGACATTGATTACCAAGTCACCCTGTCCTTTTTTATTTAGGAAAACAACACTTTATAGTTTCTTCAATATGAAATGTTTGGGTTTCTCCACAGTAATATTTATTGTCATTAAAAAAAACATTTCACATTTTTGCATTATCTAAATAAAATTGTGCATAAATTAAAAGAACATTAAACAAATTGACGGTTTAGATTAATGTCTGTTGTTATCTTACTTGATGTCTGTAACTGATGAATGAAAAGACTCATAGGTGAATTTCAAAGAAGTAATTTTTAACTTAATTTCCAAGTTCGTTTGTTTCTTTTTCTTTCTTTTTTGTTCGTTTTTTGAGCAAGTGAGTGAACATGTCCAAAAATAACTGTCTATGGGTGAAATGGGTTTCTTTTCTCACTGATGTTAAAATCTTGTAAAATATTTTGGTGATTAATTATGGACTGTTAAATTTGTTTAACAGATTATAACTAATGATGTAGCACCTTAACTATTCAACCAAGTATATTACCAGTACATTTCTGCTGTGTTCCAATAATAATAATAATAACGGCCTATTCATTTTTTTTTTAATAAACTTTGACAAACGACAATGCATTAGTCATTAATGTGAATGTGTTCACATTTATCTAATATGGTTACGATTTAACGTTGGATTTTTTTTCTAAGGACCACTAGGTTTTGACCTTCTGGAAGGAGTCGGCTCGTTCACACCTTTAAGTATTTCATCCACCAAATGACTCGTCATTTCTTGGTGAGTTGGTTTGTTCGTTTTTAAAACTTTTAAAGATGTTACTTATTAAATTTAAGAAGTTTTAAGGGTGGAAATATAAAATAAAACTGCGCGGTAGGAACTATTTCCGCGGCCAACCTTTGCAGTGCCACATCGTGTGTATCATGTTTTATCGTCCTACCGGATGTGCTACCCTGGAGCAATGGCAGGTCAGGATCTGGTCAGAATTCTTGTGTATACTGTCAATCACCTGCTGCAACAGGAGAAATACAGAGCTGCTCTGGCCGTTCTGAAGGGATTCAGAAACGGAGTCGTGTAAGAGAATGCGTTCCTACAGAATCGTTTTTCTTTTGTTCCGCTCTTATCAGTAACACCTTAGACTGTAGTGGCTGATCTGGATTTTTGTTATATCTAAATAAAATAAATGATTGTCGAGGAGGATGTTAGTTAGTTAGGACGTTAGTAGTTTTGATTTCTGTTGTTACATTTTACATTTGGTTCTCAAACTATCACATGAGTACCACTGCTGGTACCTAGACTCACAATGGTAATTTTGTATTTTATTTTTTACTTATTTTTAGGTTGCTATTAATGCGTGTTTGTAATGGTTTAAGCACCAATTGTTGTATGAAATATTAACAACATCCTATTTAAATACATGCATTAGCAGAGCAGGCATGTGCTGCTGTATTTATTCAGTCGTACTAGTGTCAAATATTTTTTACTTTACTTTGTTCTAGATATGGAGCCAAAATCCGAGCACCACATGCCCTGGTGATGACATTTCTTTTCAAAAGTGGAAGGTAAGAATTTTTTCTGTCCATCAAAAAATTTGGATTTCACATCTAAGTGTCACATCTCTCTCTTTCTCAAAGTTTAAAGGACAAACTCAAAGCCATTTTGAAGGCCACTTACACACATTCTCGCAACCTGGCATACTTTGTGTTCACATACAAAGGACTTCAAGCCTTTCAGCAAAGGATACATGGAAAGAGTTTACAGTCGCACTCCTTTCTGGCTGCTTGTGTTGGAGGATGGTTAGTGTTTGGGGATAACAACAGCATCAATAGCCAGGTTTGCCAAGTCACTAGTCTGTTGTCCTCTGTTCCTTATTTAGTTACTAGTTACTAAGTACTCTCTTCACTAATGATCCTTTTGTTTTCCCCCTCCCAGATCAACATGTACTTGCTGTCTAGAATACTGTTCGCTCTGTCTCGTCTGGCTGTGGAGAAAGGACTCGTCCCTCAGCCTAAACATGACCCGTTCCCACTCTTTGCCACTCTGGTGTGGGGCATCGTCCTGTGGTTGTTTGAGTATTACCCACACACGCTCCAGCCCTCGCTTCAGTCCTCTATGAACTACCTCTACCACGACAGTAACGTGTGGCACGACGTCACCGACTTTCTTATTTTTAACAAGCCGCGGACAGCTGCTCAGAAATAAAGCACTGTGAGTATCCACCCAATCACAGCATACACTCAGGCACAAGAGATGAACAAAACCGGGAGTGAAATGTTGGCTTCTGTGTATTTGATGAATACATTTTAAACTCTGAAAATGCTCATCAGGTGACTGTATCGTGTCGCTTGATGTAAATGAATATTTACCTTTTAATTGGCTGCCTATTGAGAGAGTGGTTTTTGTTCTTGTCTGCAGAAAGATGATTGATTCAAACTTCAACAACTACAATAATGTGTGTGCGTGCATGTGTGTCTTTATATACAGGTACGTCCCTGTGATGAACCACAGAGTCCACTTCACCTTCTCCCCACTGACTGTGTGTAATGGCTCCAGTAGTTGGCTTAAGCTAGGGACGTCAAACATATGGCCTGTGGGCCAAAACCGGCCCGCTGGGGGTTCAATCCAGCCTGCCTGATGAATTTTGAAAGTTAAGAAAATGCACAAACCCTTCATTTTTTTATAATGATTACTTAAATATGAATATTTTCTAATAACCTTGTACTAATTTGCATGAGAACAAAGGAAAAAAACATGGACCTATTGTTATTTATAGCTAATTATGTTATGATTTTACTGGTCTAACCAAAATGAGTTTGACAACCCTTGCTTAAGCAGTTTAAGATAAAACAAACCAAATTGTGTTTAGATTTTTATTGCAAAATATTATTAGTAAAATTTGTTTAATTATTGGCAGATTTATTCTGATAAATTGATCAATTTGACAAACAAAGTCATGTCATTGTCTAATTGGGAAAAAAAAATCTGAACTCAGATTATCTTGCTGATAATTCGTTGATGTTAATTTTACAGGAGTATTTCAATTTTACAGGAGTATTTCAGGGAATACACTAACCACAGCTTTATTTTCTTTATTCATTTTATTTTCTTTTGTGCAGGTTGTTTAACTAATGTCTCCTGCATTTATTAGAGTAAATAATCCAGTACTCAGTGTACTCAATGCAGCAGTGTTCTTTCGCCGTTCCGGTTTCACACGTGACTCATGCGCGGCGTGATTGTTACACTCCTGGGTTCTCCTTGAAGACACTGAACTCCTCCCTGCTGCACCTTTACAACAAATACTAGAAACTGTACATTGGTGTCCAAGCGTATTTTGGTTGAAAGGTAAAGGTGTGGTCTGACATACAGAACATAGTAATATATATGCAATGCATTCCAAATAAATACTTCATCCTTTCCTACATTTTTCACGTTGTCTTCCATAAATCAGCACTTGTTTAAGAATCAGCCAAGAATAATCTGTGAGTTTTAAATATGGCGGACTTAGATATTAAAATAGATATCATCTATTTTAATTTATTTTTAATACAGAAATGTTAGACGTTACATGTCTTAATTTACTGCTGCATTGAGTAAAGCACTACACAAACACAGTTGCTGCTCTAATTACAGTTGGTTTCTGTTTTTACTTACCATGGTTGTGTGACTTAATTTAAAATAGTTATTGCAAAATGTACGGTCGACTAAAAGTACACAGTGAGCTGTCTGCAGGAAAGTTCGTTTCACTTAGCTATACAGTATAGGCTTTCACTTTAGTAGAGAAAACACAGTCTTATCCACACTGGTTTAAATATATATGCATCAAAAACACACACCAATAAAGCAATAGTAGTAGTAGTACCTATTGCATCATGGATCAGCCCACATACTGTGGTAAAGGGCACTGAAGCTGCCATCAACACAGACCACACCTCAAATTCCATCACGAACGAGTGGCCCCACTTGGGCGAAGGTGAATATATTCAATGAAACAAATGATGACATACTGTACTACTGACTTGGCTTTTGGTGAACAATGACCTTGATAAACACAGAAACCCTGTGACATGACAACAAAGATCAGTAGGTTGCAAAATCTCATTTAAAAAAAAGTTTTTTGGTAATAAATCACAAATGCCTGTGCAACAGTGCATGGCCGCTTATCGTGTAATTGAGATAAAATCTTAAAAAGAATCACTGACTGTTGCTTTTTTATAATGTGATTGTATACATAAGATACTTGCTAAAGCTAACTGGATAAAGATACCAAAAGTAATTCCTGCGCAATACAGCGCACATGCCTGACATTACTGACTGGTTACTGCACACTGGTCAAACGTGAGTTGCACAAAAACTCATTATCATTGTGACTGTGACATAGTGCCTCACATTATGACATACGTCTTTATATTTATAGTTCAACCCTGACGATATTCCTATTTGAGAACAATTTTGCTAAATGCTAAAAATAAATATCTATATCTTGTCAATAAATAGACCAAAATAGTGGCATTTTGACTCATAAGTAAAATTATTAGTAAAATCATGCCACGTAAGCATGGTGCTCAAGGCTGCACTTGGAAAATGAATTATAAATTAAAATATATCATTATTTAGCTGAGATTAGCGTGGAGATTAGTGTGAAGCATTAGCAACTTCAGCTAACGTACAGCTGTTTGTCAAGGCTTTGTTTAATAAGTGGCAGAGATCTAGGTGATGTAATAAAATAAAATACAAATAAAAACGACCTCATACTGTATGAAGATAAATATTCCTGGAATACTTGAACCTCGGACCGTTGACGTCACTGTGTGATGTTTACCTCTTGTATTTTTTTTTCCCAAATTAAAATTGGAGATGTTACGTTTTTCTTGGTTTCATCACTTTCAACTTTCTAGCAAAAGTTCACAAGAGTGGGTGTCCTGGGTGAGACACATTAGTCATGAACCAGACCCACCTACAGCACGAAACTATGTGCATGAAGCGCGTCAAAGTGTGTGCGATGTTCCCTCCTCAGCTGCATGTTTTGTTACATTGCTGCAGGGCCTTAGTAACCGCAACGGCGGCTGCAGAGAGAGGGGGCGTGGCAAAATGTTTAAATAGTGGTGGAGCTGAATGAAAGAGATATTTCTTATCTGAGCTCTGCTACAGACTCACTCACCGACAAATGGAAGGTAAGATCTGCCAATGTTTTTGTGGAAGTATTTAAGTATTGCGGTAAAAAGGCATTATTATTCAATGCTTTTTTACCGCAATACGAGATTCATGTATGGAAATATTTTGTTCTTCTAGACATCGTCATCCAAAATGTTAACCTGGAACAGTCAGAGAACATGCAGCGACACAGGACAGATGGCTTCAGCAGCTCCAAGAGCCTGGTGGTGCGGAGAGGAGCCCCATTCAAACTCAGCCTGCAGCTGGGGGGTCGAGAGTTTGACCCCAAGTCTGACTGTCTGAGGGTTAAAGTCATGCTAGGTAGTTTAAGTTATTGCATTTATTTATTATTTTCCAGTATTAAACTTAATCCTCAGGGCAATGTTCAAAATCCTGTGAATCCCTCTGTCTTCACATCAGGACGCCTGTGCGTAAGAATGGCCGTCACCTTCTCCAAAAGAGTTTCCTCCTCCAGATGGACGGCCTACATGGAGTCAAAGAACCTGGACCTCCAGAATCCCTCCGTCTTCATCTCTGCTCCGTCCTCTGCTCCGGTGGGATGCTACAGGTTTCAGCTGCACGTCTACTCTCAGGGCGGCCGACGCAGGACCGCTCTGGGCAAATTCCTCCTGCTCTGCAATCCCTGGTGTGGCGGTGAGTGAAGAGCCTGCATGAAATACGCAACAAGATGAAATGGATGGAAATAAATGGCAGTTTTGTTCAACTTTTTTTTCGATTAATTTGACAGATGATGACGTCTATATTCCATTTGAGGACCAGAGGGAGGAATACGTCGCCAACGACGCTGGTTTACTGTTCATGGGAACGGCGGTCAACCTGGTGTCCAGGCCTTGGTCCTTCGATCAGGTATGAAATGATTATGAACATTAGGATCAAAATGATAAACATCCTGTGAACATAGATGAGAGGTGACTGAGAGGCTATTGCAATCACTGACATTAACATTAAGAATATCATAAAAAATAAATACATTTTTTTAACTGGGGCAGTGGTGGCTTGGTGGTGGAAGTAGTGAACCTGGGGGCGGAAAGTTTCAGGTTCAAATCCACAAGCTGCTAAGTTACCACTGAGGTGCCCTGAGCAAGGCACTGTCCCCCACGCTGCTCCCCAGGCAGCTTCAGCTGCCCCCTGCTGACTAAGGTTAAATCCAGAAGTCACATTTCGTTGTGCGCTGTGTCACAATGACAAGTAGTTCACTGTCACTTAATGACTAACACTGTATATTGCAGTAATCATCAGAGAAAACCAAATGCAAATGACAGCCTTTTCTACTGTGCAAGTGTCTTTTTAAGGTTATTTCAATGTGAACGTTTCTGTTTTGTCTGTCTGTGAAGTATGAGCCTGGCGTTCTGGAGTCCTGCATGAGTCTGCTGCAGGTCAGCCCCAAACATCAGACCAACCAGCGGCTGGACTATCTGAAACGCAACGACCCCGTCTACATCAGCAGGGTGGTGTCTGCCATGGTGAGGACAAAAAACAAAAACATCCCTCTGCAGGGATGTCAACAACATATTGGTTTTATTCACCTGATGTGACAAGCGTCAGGAACGCCCGTCAAAACAAGTCCCTTCTTGATCTCTCACAGAACATGGCGTTCTGCCCGAGGAACACGCCTCAGGCGGTTGTTAGCAAAGCAGTCATTAAGTCGGCACTGTGATGTAAAAAAAATAAAACAAACTCAGCCTTCAATTCTCCAGAAAGAGTGAAGTGTATGGACTTGCCTTGTAATACTTCTTGGGAAATTGTACTGAACAAAAGGTCACGTTATTTTTCTTTGCCTTAGATCAACTGTGAGGACGACTGTGGCGTCCTGAAGGGAAACTGGTCGGGAGATTTCAAAAACGGTGTCAGCCCCACAACGTGGACGGGAAGTGGGGACATCCTGAATCAGTGGGCCAAGTCTGGGTACAAACCAGTCAAATATGGGCAGTGCTGGGTGTTTGCTGCCGTCATGTGTACAGGTATTTACACTGTTGTCATGGACAACCCCCTGAATGAAATCACTATCAAAATCCTTTCCCTGCCAACGACCGTGACTGCGTCATACTTTCCACTGTAATTTGTTCTGACTGTTCACGTCTGTGTCTGCGTCTTGATGACGTCCTGCAGTAATGCGCGTTCTTGGCATTCCTTGTCGTGTCGTCACCAACTTCAACTCGGCTCACGACACCAATGGGAACCTGGTAATTGAGGAATACTACAGCGAGAAGGGGGAGAAGCTGAAGCTCAGCAAAGACAGCGTCTGGTAAATGGATGTTTTTGTCGTAGCTCAGCTCACGTTATTATAAACATCATTATTAAAGTACATAAATCTGAGGATTTATTCGTTTTTTCAAACAGGAACTTTCATGTGTGGGTGGAATGCTGGATGGCTCGTAAGGATTTAGGATCAGGGATGGACGGCTGGCAGGTTCTGGACCCCACCCCTCAGAACAGAAGTGGTGGTGTGTAACAAACATCATTATTATTATTATTAGTTATTTGATACAAATGAAAAATGAATACAAAACAACTAGGGAATCCGATAATATCGGCCGACCTGATATTATTGGACTGATATTATTGGACAAAGTAAAGGTCAATTATATAATATCTCTAAGAATCTTTATAATATTTTCCCTCTGATAATGAAAAATGATGAAAAATAATGAAAAGCTGATAATTCGCCAAGTAAGCAAAGTAAGTGTTCCCTAAAAAGAGTTTTTGGGAAAAACAGCTGTATATGAAAGTAAAGGTCACTAGATGGCAGCATTGTATGCTGGTGCCAGCAACTCATACAGTGGTTTGTACAGGTAAACAAATAAATACTACCAGGGGCTTAATAGTATTTTAATTTAGGGCGGGGCATGGTAGAAAATAATTGAGAACCACTGCTCTAACCCAGGCGTGTTCCAACTGTTTGACTCATGGGACACAATTGTTCTAAAAATTAAACAGGAGCGCCCCCTGGTCAGGAGCAGATAGATAAAGCATTTGTATGACCTAAAGTAAAAAGACATGTAAAAGTACGTTGCATAAAGGCTAAAATGCTAAAATGCTTTTAGCATTGTCTACGCCATCTATTGGGGAAACGTGGGTATTGCAGGAAAAAGGCAGAAGTATGATGATAATATGAATAAATTATATTATTTAGAAAAGTATGGTGGGCCGGATTAAAAAGCTGATTGGGCCGCATCCGGCCCCCAGGCCTTAGTTTGTCCATGTCTGCTCCCATCACCTTAGGGTTAGACGATTGATATCGGAATTAAAAATTAAGTGTTTGGACAATATCGGCATATCTGACATCCCTAAAAAAAAAAAACCCAAAATAACAAAATGTGTATCATCCCAGGTGTGTTCTGCTGCGGCCCTTCCCCGGTAAAAGCCATTAAGAAGCGTTGCATGGAAATGTTCTATGACATTCCCTTTGTGTATGCGGAGGTCAACGCTGACATCCACATGATCATCATGAGCCAGGGCAGAGTGCTGAGCCTCAGCAAAGACACGGAGAAAGTCGGATCTCTCATCTGCACCAAGGCTATCGGGTTCCCCAGGCTTGAGAACATCACTGGAGACTACAAGTTGATAAAAAGTAGGCTTTGATCAAAATAAAAATAAAAATTCATAGTTTATCATTTTAAGAATCCCCATTGTCTAAAATTGTAGCTCCACCCACTTTAACGGTTTCTTTGTACACAACAGGTCCAACGTCAACTCTCTCGTCCAGGACGTCTACCATTTCAGACAGATCAACGTCCAGAACAGGTGAGTGACTTTAATAACCATAATAAATGTTAATGTAATGTATAAACAGCCACCATCTCACAGTCTGGACCTCTTCTTACCTTATCCAGAAAGTAGATCTCAAGTGTTTGTTATCCTGAGCCTGGACAAAGCTCCAGTCGCCGGAGAACCTGTGAGTTTCACGGTGAAACTCATAAACAAGCAGAAAATGAGGAAGGCGATGAAGCTGCATCTGAACGCTCAGGCTAAAGAATACAACCACAGCCCTTCAGACACATTCTGGGCCAATAGTGACATTGCACAGCTTGGACCTATGGAAGGTAGATAGATTTGAACCTTCAACCCCCCCAAAAAGTCATTTTTTTCTTTGACACAATGTTAAATTACACTAATATTCTCTGTTTTTTTTAAGTCAAAGTTATGACCTATCAGATCCTCCCAGCTGAGTACGAAGATGTGGTGGGAGACGACCTCATCAACCTGGCAGCGGTCGTGGAGGACATGTCCAGTCATGAGCGGACCCTGGCCTCGGAGGAGTTCAACATCGCCACGCCAAAATTAACCATCCAGGTGCAGTGCTCTCCACAAATTCTCTAATTTTGGTTTGTTTAATGTGTGACTATTTTTAGATTTGACTAAACTGTGTTTCCTCCTCAGGTCTTGGATGAAAACTCTGTGAAGGTTAACGAAGAGCAAACAGCTATAGTGAGCTTCAAAAACCCATATTCTCACTTGGTGGGTGGTGAGCTAATTGTGGCGGGGGCTGGACTGATCCAGGGCAAGATTCTCTTCAGGTACCAATGTCTATGTTGACTCATTGTTTGTCATGTATGCGTCAAATGCTTCATTTTTCTGAGAAATCGTCTGATGGTTCGGGTGAAGACAGGAGTGTCTGTCAGTAGACTGTAGTTATTTGGAATTACTAAAGCATTCGGTTCATTTTTATTTAACCCAGTTTTATCCCCATTCCAGGCTGCTTCCGATGCGTACAGGAGGAAAAGTGGAGCATCGCATCACTTTTACTCCAAACATGGTGGGAACCAAGATGCTGCAGGCCAGTCTGAAACTGTCCAACATAAACTCCACCATCAGAGGCTTCAAAATGGTCATTGTCGACAAAGATTAGCTCCAAATAATAGCAGCTGTTGTCTTTTCAACAGTTGCTACAAGAACCACAAAAAATAATGTCAAACAATACATTCATTTTTATACTGTGACATTGTGTTTTTTTCCCTTCAATGTTTTACTTTATTACCTTAAAAAAAATTCAACTGGCAGCATTTACTGCTACATATTAGTGCTAAGGTCCCGCTTTATTTATTATGTGTTTTATGCGTGAATGTATATTATCCTTTTCTATTAATATTTATTTTCATATATATATATATATAATAAAACGTTTACACATTGTAAGTGTGCATTTTACTTTACTATTGTTGCAGTTTCGTACATGACCACAAGAGGTAGATATTTACATTTGGCATAACAGCAGGAACGTGCAAAAGAAATATATAAAAGATATATAATATAAATACTAATAATAATGTTTCTAAAAGAGAACAATACGGTACAGTAGTATTTTAAAAGCATTTTTACTCGAAGTTATTTCAATAATTATGCGTATTTTAGCTACCGTCATCGATATGCACCTGTCAGGGAAAACGGAAGAAGATAGCAACTAGCCGAGCCTCACTTCCGAATGCCCGCTGCTGTTGCATGTAAGTTACTGTGTTTCTGTCATACAAACAGACGTATTTAGACAATAAAATGTTTAGAACAACTTTTGTTATATAACAACTTTGTAGAAGTGTATTTGTCATTGACCCACACACTTGTACCCTGACTGTGTGGACAGAACAGTGATGAGATGTTTAGCATAACTATTAGTTAGCATACACGCCCCCATTGTAAATAAGGAATTTGGCAAAGGAGAAATTTTCCTCTTTTTTTTTATCTGACTTAAAGTCACTGACGTTGTATAATATGAAATGAAACCCAACTCCTGTTTCCCCACAATGTAATTAATTTATTTGTATTAATCTATTTTCATTTGCAAAACAAATCAACATTAGTGCTTTATATACAAATCAGAGCAAAGCTGAGAGACAGTGTTATCGTCACATGCACAGCCATACCAATACATCTATATTACAAAAAGGTTATTCATAGGGATTTTATAGCAGAAAACTAAACCAGGATAGGAAAAAAAGAGTCAAGTCACATGAACATGTACAACCCAGAAACAAACACAGGAACTTACTGTAAGCACTAGTCTATAATACAGCATCTTCAAACATTTTTACAAGAACAAAGTCTGATCTTTAAGGAAGGCTTTTGTATGTTTACATATAGATGTCCCAAACTACACACTATACCTAATTATGTTGTAAAACTGAACCATTAATAAATAGATCACATTTAAATGATAAAATGTCGCCTCTAACTAAGAGGAGGGGGTTACTTTTGAGAATTATGTAGCCGTAAAACGAAATGCTGTTTTGAAAGGTTCAGTAAAGGCCATTTGTTAAAAAATTGCAAGAAACTGTGAAGAATGAAAGATGAGCTTCACAACAAAAATAAAAAAGAGCAGTAGAACAAACAAACAAAAAAACGGTTTTAAGATTTGTTTTTGTTTTTTCAGTGCAACAGAAGTTGTGCATGTTACGGTTACTGCAGAATTGAGATGATGTGATTTAAAGGTCCAGTGTGTAACGCACGGGGACATCTACTGGAGAGACAGCAGGTTGCAACTGACGCAGAACTCCGCTGCTTACCCCTCCTTTCCGACTACAGACTTGTCATTGGTTGGTTGATGTGTCACACTTTTTGAATACAGCAAATTTTTATGTGTGTAATTAACATACATTTGAAATGTTACAGTTTCTGACAGTACACCCTTTCAAGTTACACACTGGACCTTGAACATATTTTGTGCTGATTGTTTGGTGAGCTTTGGTCCCTCATTTTATTTTTACTTTGGTCTTTTCTTAATTTTGGTCCATAACTTATGGCCTGGTGGTTATGCCTCAGAGAGTCACTGCAGCCTGCAGCTTTCAGCTCCTTTCAGCTCCTGTAGCTCTGCTGTGTCAACGTCCGTCTGGAGTTCTCACTCAAGCAAAGACGGCAATACTGACTCTTGTACAGTATCTGGAAGCACGTCCAACCATGTGGTGCAGTCTTGTGTTAGGGAGTTTCCTGGTTAAGCTGAGAGACTGTAGAATCTAGAGGTAGTCCAGCTCCAGTGCATGGCTCAGGGCTTCCAGGTCAGCGCGACAGGTCACCCTCCAGAAAGGCATGTTCTTCTGTGAAGATAAAATGTAATGAACATGAGAAAAAAAGATGACAACAACTGTGTTCTATACGTCCTTCAGTCTTTCCTTCAAATGCAACACAGATGTGAAACTGAAGAGAGATGGACCATGTGACATACAAATGGATGATATATTGGCCCATAATGTGTTGATGATAAACTGCCAAAACCTGGGAAAAAATCTGACATCTCAATGCAAGGATTTTTTAAAAATCCTTAACATAAGATGTGCAGAAACTAAGCCGTTTTCAGGGGTTAACTGATTAGACGTGGGTCGTTTTTCAGTAGTCATGGGAGTCATAAAATGACACAGGTTGACTTGTACCTTCTTGGCCACGCTCTCTTCTTCTGCACCATCTCCTATTACCACGTACACTGCTCTCCGACCGAATCTCTGGGAGATGCGCTCAAAACAGCTCTCTTTGCCTTTGAGAAGAGGGGAAAACATTAAAGAGACATTTATATTATGATATTCTTTTTACTTATTTAACACAGAAAGCCAAATGAACATGAGCTGGTTGATTTAATTCACTCGAACATGGATTTTTGGTAGAAGCTGGTGAAAGGTATAGATATCAAGGAGCGTCTCCCAAAAGGCTTTCTATGAGGTAGTTGTTGACTGTGTGCTAACATGCTAATGTTGCTACGATGGAGCAAAACACTTGCCTGACATGTGCTAATGCTAAATGATGAACTATTCATTTTTGTTTCTGGTCATAAAATTTGTCTTCGAGGATCGTCTCATTCTGCTCACCTGTCTTGGTTGCGCTGTATATGTTCTCTATTGGAAAGGCTGAGCCCAGACCATACAGTAGAACCTTGGAGAGAGCTGGGACGAGCTGGGTGGTGGTCACCAACACGTTCACACAGTTTGGCCTTGAACACAACAGTAACTTTTTATTAATGTCAATACAAACGATTTATAACCCCAGTAATCATGATCAATCAAAAAGGAATCTGTTGTTGCTAATGACCTTGAGTTGATGAGAGCCAGTGCTTTGAGAGCTTGGGTGAGCCACAGGTCGGTCAGGACCTCCATCTCCCTCCTCAGCTGTAACCACTCCTCCCTCTTGGGGCTGCCCAGTAGTCCTGTGCACCGAGAAATTGAGTAGATAGAATACAATGTTTATTTTTGTTGGAAAAGGTCTAGTGAAATAAAAACTTTTTGGTCTGTCTGTGTCCCTGCTCTCCTGCTGTGTCTGCTGTGTTGCTTAATTAGTCTCACTAGTGACACCTGGTGCCCTGGGTATTTATATACCTCTCTCCCTCACTCAGTCTTTGTCTGTTGGTTGTCGTGTTAATGCCTTGTCTTCCTGCTAGCCTGAGATCCTGTTTGTATCTGCTTGGTCTTGAGAAACTAGTAAGCGAATATATTTCAGTTTTTCTGAGTTCATGACCCGACTTTGACGTTTCCATTTACCCCAGAGACATTTTTTTAGCTGTCACTTGTACAGTCGTGTGATCTCAGCTGTCAATCAAGAAATTCCAGCTCAGGTATTTTTATGTGAAGCATTTTATTTGAACTCTTTATGTACATGAAAGTGGAAAAATACAGTTCGTAAGATTGTACGTAGCGTTTTTTAATCATCATTTTAAAAAGAATATCAGGTTTTTTTATTATCAATTACTAGCAATTTCAAGGAACCCTACACACGTGAAGTGATTCTATGCAGTGTTTAAGTGGTTGGTGCTCTTGCCTTACAGCAAGAAAGTCATGGGTTTGGTTGGCAGTTGTAACTGACAGTCTTTCTCTATGGAAAGTTCAGGTTGTGGAGTCCTTTTATTTTATTGCTTATATTGCTTGGTGTTTAATCGCGGGGTGGTGGGAGGGGGGTAGAGCCTGTGGGGCACCTCATCAGCTCCATGGTCAATAACAAAGCACTGATAATGAAGTGATGCCTCAAAGCGTCAGGAGATATAGTTGGCTTTAACTAAAGACAAACAAACCTGTACGTCTGGTTTCTAACAACCTCTCCCCTCGCAAAATTCAGTTAAGTTCAAAAGTCATGGGTTACACTAGGTAAATAAAGGAGCCAGTATTTGATGATCAACCGAGCAAGAAATTCAACGTTACAACGGCCACAAAACAGCACTCAAAAGTAAACATGGCTGGGCTTTTAAACGTTCGTTTTGTTCTCTGTTATTTATAGGTAAGATTAATTCAAGCACGTTTAACACATAAAGAAGAACACGATCTTACCGCCGACATTATTCTTGTACATGTTGTAAATCTCCTTGACTCTGCGGTATCTGAATGCCAGTTTTCTCATCCAGTCCACCCCTCCATGGACCCCTGACCCTAGACACAGAGAGCCAGCCCCTGCTGGGCTCTGGAAGCCGTCCGACCCAAAGTTGTAAGTGCTGCAGGATCAAAATACAAGAAAGTAGCCAGAATGTAAATCACAAAAGATGTATGCTTCATTTTCCCCCCTGAAAGTCCTAGAGTGGAATGCTTTCAAAAATGACACAATGGTCGACATTTTCCAGCTCTGGAGTAAACTGAAACATTCAGACTATGAAAATAAACTGTTCTTAATAAAGTCAGATGGAAATAATGTAAAATGGTACATTTGTCATGATTACATGTAAAAATAAACCCCCCCTTTTGGATGAAACTGCAACGTTAAGTAAAAACCGAGAATTATATAAAGTACGTGGATGAAGTCTGACTCTCTCCGAAATCAACCGAGAAATGTGCGAACTGTGAAAGACGGAAGACCTTAGAAATAGAGCTTTTGAATAATGCAGTAGCACAACATCACCACAAGGTGGTGTTATTTTCAGTATAAAGGCCTCAGCAAGAAGTTCATTCAACTAACATTTCCCATTGCCTACATTTTCCTCAAACGAACTTGTTGAATCAAGTGTATAGTGTATTTGCTGAATATAGTGTCAGCACATCTTAAAAATCATGCTAAAAATATAAAATAAAAATTATACATACTTAAAAAGTATAGATGAAGATCGATTTGAGCATTGAATGATCATGTGATGAACTCTATGCTAGCGAGTGAAAATATTACACATACATGCGCTCAATTTTTTTTCTACCCCTGTGCCCTAGAACCCAAAGTGCAAGTCTGGGTCATATGTACTGGATGTGACAGAGTCTCTCAGCAGAGACTACAGTAAAAGTAACACAGCTGGTGGCTAACCTCAGGTCCTGTCCGTTGTCATCTGAGGCAACGTCATCGACATGAACCTGGTCACATTCCTGGGGAAATTAAAAACAAGGGTGAAAGGGATGTGAGAGATCCATTTCAGAGGCAGGTCCTGTAGAAGCAGGTCCCCACTGTGGAAGACAGACTGTGGGAATGACAGCAGCTGTGATAAGAATAAGATCTTCACAACTAAAAGAAGGAAGGAGAGGGAATATGACAGGACATTATGCTGTGTGTGTAATGCAATGCAATGTTTTTATATATATATATATATATGTATATATATTTATATTGCATATATAAATATATGTACAGTATGTATGTTTATAATATGTATATGTGCGTGTATATATATTTATGTTTATATACATGCATATATGTATATATTTTTATGTATGTATTGGCTAAGTGCATTAACTGTATTAATTGCAAATTATCAAAAGGTGTAAATCCAAAATATGTCTTTGCTGTTATTTGTCGTCCTGTTTCTGTCATATTTAAAATAGTTGATGTACCTCGATTGATTATTAGTGACTAATTTCTGTCATTGTTTGTTACTAGCGCCCCAGCTGCCCTGTGAACTACTGGGTCTCAATGCTGCTGATGTGGCCACTGACTTAAGAGGAACAAGGTATGTGCACCACAGCTCTCTACACCACTAGTGCGCCAGTCATTGATTACAGCTTTTCAGAGCTTTGACAATAGACCAGATTGAAAAAGTGAGTTTTCAAATTGCCTCATTGGCTCCTTTCCCTCCGCCTGACCGGTCCTCCTCCCATCTGACTGATTTTTCTATAAAGCTCAGACACACACCTATAATTATGACCACAGAGTGTTCTCTCTCTCTCCATTCTTTTCTTGTCTTACTTCATTGACAGAACAAGGCCGTGGTATGCGGGATGAAAAACCCATGCACTCCTCGGTCTCTAGTAGTACAGCAGTACAATCCTTTTATCCTCTCTAAGTGTTGCCTCTGTCACTGCTTCTTAAGAAGCTGCAGTTCACGTCCGACCGTGAGAACTCTTAGAACAACAGTAAACTGAACTTTTCTTTCACTTTCCTTGCTACACTCATATAAAAGGTTGTGTGCACAGATTTCTGACATGTTTTGTCTTGTATCAATAGTAAGATTGCTGTTACACTGAGGTGAGAATCTGTTATATTGGCCATGTGTGGGTCTGATTGTGTGTTTGATCTCTGTCAGGCGGTCTCTGTTAGGTGACCTTACACGTGTAGACAAGAGACTTAACCCCAGTGTTGCTTCTCGCTGATGAGCAGGTAAAAGGGGCATAAATTTCAAAAAATGAGAGCGTGAGCAATTTACTAGAATTCTTTTTTTAAAATTAAATCCTCTAAAATCCCACAGTTGCATCAGGTGGGAATTATATAAAAAGTGTTTTTTTTTAAGTGCTCAGGATGCTTTTGTGTATAAATGTTTACAAAGATAAACACTAGATGGCAGTATTGCAACTCAACGTACGCAACAGACAAAGCACAGTTTTGGGGCAAATGCGGGGTTGGGGGTGGGGGGCTTGTAAGACAACAGTTATTATAAGTCATCAATCACAAATAAAACCTTTTCTATTCTTCAGAACACAACATAAGCATAAAAGCTAAGCATAAATGTGTGGCTCCACTGCCACCTGTTGATCACAGTAAACAGGAAACACTCACCTCCAGGTCATTGAAGAAAAGTCTTGAGTCAGCCAGGTTGAATATCATCTCCTCCATCCATAAACCCAGGGATAATGCCTTTGAAGAGTCCTGATGCAAACACACACACACACACACCGTGTGTTAATAATTACAATGCAAACAAATTAAATATAAATGACTACGAAGCACAGAGGCGTGACCTCGGGTGTTTTAGCATAGATATGAATCTATTCATGTCTTCAGGCGTGTTCAAAGTATATTACACGTACAGCAGGATCTCATTTCCCCTAAAGCATTGCTGAAAACTTTTCTGTGTGGGGAACTTCTTTGAACCCGTCGATTAGAGGAAGAGCAGGTCTAATGCGCCAGAAGCTGCACGCAAAATAGTTAGTCAATAAAAAAAAAAGCAAATCATGACCTCAGTGAGGTGGGTATGACTGACAGTCACGTATTCAGAGACTAATCTGTTAAACGGTATTAAACATCAGTAGTCTTGTTATTATTTTTGAACTGTCAGTGCAACTGCCAGCTCCTCTCTGAAACTGCATCCTTTCACGTCCGCAGACTCATCAAGCAGATTGACATAAAAAGAATTCAGGGAGAGACAAAAGGTTAACAGGCTGTTTATCGTCATTCGTGAAGAGTCAAACGTGCAAATTCTGCACTCGCTGCCACTGTCTTTGTTCTCGTCCAGGATCGTTTTATGATGTGGCATTCAAGTGCCTTTTCAATCAACTGATGTGGAGTGAAAAGGTCATGTCTTTTCAGTCACATTACCCTTTATATTCACGGTAGATAATCGCTAGAAAATGAAAAAGAAACCTTACATGCTATATGGGACATTGGGTTTTGTTCTGTTGAAACAGCTACTAACACTGCAATGCATTACAATGCCTCCATGACAGTGTGGATTAAAACATGGTCTTAGTCTGGAATAGGTGCTCATTTGAACTAATGGAGGCCAATTGGCGTATAATAATGTTATGTATGTAAGCAGCTAGTTAATTGCAAATATGCTTGTTACTTAATTGAGACTAAACCACACTAATGACTTCACTGGCAACAAGTAGATGCAGGGTTGTTGTTGCTAATGCAGGTACATCATGTTGAGTGTGGTGAAAACATGACTTAAAAAACAATCTTAACGCAAACGCAGACTTTCTCCTCAGTTAGCTTATAATTTAAAATAAAAGACTCAGTAAATGTAAAATGAAAAATGGATTATGTTACAGAAAGATTCAAAAGGCTTTCATGATGTAAAAAACATTTTAGCCTCATCTGATTGAAGCCCCGTGGCTCAGAAGTTTGAGCAGTTGTCTTTTAACTTTGTGGGTTCTGGGAAACATTCCTGACTCAATAGTCTACTTTGAAGGTTGATGAATCGATGGAAAAGCCAAAGTGTAAAGCTTTGGGATTGATTATTAGGGTTAAACAAGGTCAGAAATCATACAGAAGCACAACTTGAACCTGTGGAGGTCCTTGACTCATTTCTACGACGCAATGTAACCTTCACCGTAAGTTGGAACGCGCATCGTGTATATAAGTAAAGTCGGACTTCTGACTCCCTACTGAAGGGCAAAAAGAAACAAATGTAGCACAAGTCAATTTGGGGTGTACAACCAGTGTATATATAAACAAAGCTATCCTTCTTCCACGTATAGCCGAATGAGGGCACATTTGTCCACTCCGCCTGCCAACTAGTTCAATGCAAAATTTGTTTTAACGGAATCAAGAATAATAACAAACCAAGAGAATACTTAGAAAGAGTATTGTTTACCTAGAAATTTTCCTTGATTTGAAATACATATATACTTATATACTTAAATATTAATATGTAAATTAAAAAAAAAGTATCTTCATTCATTAACACAACCGGGTCTGAAATTGTTTTATTCTTGCAGTGCAGTGTTGTTTTCTTTAACCTTTGTGGTATTTTCTGTTTGTGTCAACACCTAATCACACAAGTACGTTTTTTCAACCTTTGTAACCTCACCTACACAGAACGAAAAGCTGGGCGTTTCATCACAACAACCTCACTTTTTGTTTCTTAATAAAAAGAAAATCGTAATTAACGCCCGGGAAACCTCATAAATCATGACATGCAGACAGGCAGGCTGACAAAGACGAGGGTGTGCTGTTGTTCGAGACTACAAAAGAAGGTGTGTGTGCGCTTGTGGTGAGTTTGCGTGTGTGTGTGTGTGCATCTGTGTGTATGTGAGCTGCATATTGTTTTAATGGCAGCGTTGGCTTGTCCCTGGCAGAAATACAGGAAAAGCAGCAGGGTGTCAGCCAAAGGTGAATGTTAGATTAGTGCATCTGAAATGACAAGCAGAGCTGTCTCCTGGCCCATTATTTACAAAGAGCCAGATGACACATCGACAGGAATTATAAAAAATTATGAAATATGCCCATTAGGGGTTGTAAAGTGTAAAGGTGATGAAGTGCAACAAAAGTTCACCAGGGAGGAGCGAGACGACAGGGGGGAAAATGACAAGGGGCGGGTGCAAAACAATGTCTAGAAAAGGGAGAGATGAGTGCAAAGAATCAAATGGGAGGAGTTAAAGGCTTAAGAGAGGTTTGTCCTGCTTGTCTCATGATTAATGTAATTATCGGTACTCAGCCACTGCTTTATGACAGGCACTAACAAAGCACTCCCTTAAATCTAAGACACGGCTTGGAGAAACAGGGAGGGCGAAAAAAGTGAAGAAGAAAAAAAAAAAGCTCCTTAATTGTAAAGTTCTCACGGTTCCTCTTATGCAGGAAGATTGGAATGACAGACCTAAGCTGAGAAACATTACTTTTGGTGAACAGAGTTAGTTATTCAATCCAAAACATTTGTCAATGTGGATGTAACAATACACTCATCTGACAATACGTTATGATTTGGTTTTTTGAGGGTTTTTTTGCTTCACGATACGATTTTATCACGATTTTGTTGAGCTCCAGACAAATTATGACCAAATATAATGATCTTCTATTTGTAATAACGATGTAAAATACCATACACTACATAGGGACCTGACATTTTGGTTTTTTAGCGGATCACAACCAACTATTTTAGGCACATAGCACCACCTACTGTAAAAGAGTGCGTACTCACACGGTATGATCAGTTTTTATTTTAATTGTCACAGATTTGTATTTGTCGATTCATGATTTATCGTTACATCCCTTATTGTCAGTGGTAGTTCAATAAACCAATTTCCAAATGTATTTTTGACTTGTTTATAGTTGTTATCCAGATAAAAGCAAAAAAAAAAAAAAAAAAGAGTTGGAGTTGGATTAGATGGGTGCATATGTTTAGGGTTTACAAAAAGGGAAAAAATATTCCTGGCCTGTGAACCTTCATGACATATTGGAGCAGTAATCGGTTTTTCCACTGTCACTCATTCAATTCCTCCTCTGCATGTCTGAAATTTGAAGTAAGCCTCTGTCCAACTGAGCTTCCCTGGATCCAGCAGCAGGGTGTTTGGGTGGTGGGAGGAATCCAGAATATTTGGCCCATGAGTCACATTTCAACACATCTACTCTCTGCCGTTCTATCTCTCTTGTTCTTGTTGTCTCTTCTTCTCCTCTGTGGCAGAACCAAAAGAAAAAGAAACAACTGCATGCACGGCCTGAACCGATCTGAAACTGTGCTCTCAAACTCCCATCAGCCTTGTGTCAACCCCAAAGGGGGACCGTGAGAATTCAAAACACAGAACCACGGCCAAAAACAAGAAACGCACCACAGTCAACCCCTTGTCAGCTGCTGGTCTGTTATGTAAAGGTCCTGCTGGGTGTCAATCACGCGGCAGGGTTCTGGGGTAGCTAAACAACCCGGTGCATTATGAAAAGAAACAAGAGGGCAGAAAGGCAAAACATCAAGCGTGTGAAAATGCACAGGGATGAGAGCCAAAGGTCATGGACTCGGCTCGGACGGTCAAACCTTTGACTGTTAGTCAAATAAGCACTCGATCGCCGAGACAAGGGGTGAAGTAGATTTCACTGCTGTGTTGTCAGGACAACTTTGTGACAAAGTGTGCCCAAATATCTCTCTCTCTCTCTCTCTCTCTCTCTCTCTCTATCTATCTATCTATCTATCTATCTATCTATCTATCTATCTATCTATCTATCTATCTATG